CAGTGGCTCTTGAACTTGATCTGGAGAAGGAGAGACATGAATGGAACTTGGGTCCTCCGGAGTATACCTTGAGGCCTCTCACTCCTACTGGCCGCTTTTTTGACAGTGACCCCGACTTTTTGATCATAAGCAAACCAACATCCCCAGTTGCGGTGGAGGTGGAACGACCCTGGACCCCAGGCAAAGGGATAGCCTCTCAATTAGGAAGAGAAGAATCAGAAGATGACAATCTCTCACGTACTATCAGTGAGCTACATCTGCCATCAGATAGATCTTTGTTTTTCCCGGAAAAACCCAAAACCCCAGGTCGAGAAGACACGAGTGTGTGGGATCCTAACAGAGGTGAGAGGATCTCAAAAAGTCCAAATTCTGAGGGCACTACACCAGAGGATGCAAGGGTAACACACACACACTCATCACCGTTTAGCAATCCATTTATATTAGCACCAAAGACTCCCGGAAGAGATATCCTTCTACCACGAAAAGCCTCAGTCCACAGAAGAAAGACTGAAAAAGCGCACACCTACATACAGAGATTATATAAAAAGTCAAGCATGATATGGCTCATCTGCCTGTTGTTTCCTTTTTTTTTACCCGTCTCATCCATCTGTGATTCATTTGCCAAGTCTACAGAGGATTTTGTTGGCATTTTAAGGCGTCGACGTGCATGCGACTTTGTGAGTGACAACCTGTTCACTTACTGCAATGCCTGCTTGAGCTCCATTGTTCAAAAGAGTAACGCGGATTCTCAAAAACTTCTCCAGCAGTTCTAGAAAAGGGGGAACAGTACAATATGTGAGTGCCTGTGCAAATTCGGTGATGAATGCCACCTAATCGGTGCTGATTGAGCGAAAGAAGTCAAAGTTCGTTCCCTTTCTCCGCACTTGCGGTTGGTCTTTATGTCCAGACAGAACCATCTCTTGCCCCCACCATTCTAATTTCATATTTCCAAACAATTGGGAGAGAATACAATACGCGACAATGCGGCGACACGCTTTTGCACAGGCAGTCAGTGAGACTCGCGCCGGAGGAAAAAACGATTCCAGATCAAACCAAATACAGCGAGCGGCGCTGCCGATGGTACAATTCAGAGTACAACCAAGGTTCCGCACCGCCGTCGCACAGGACGCGTACCTCCACTTAGCCATCAAATGGTTAAAGCTGCATGCATGGCTCAAATGTCCTTCACCTCTTTATGACTTCTTTACAGTGTTTCCCATAATTAACAACAATTTAAACGCGACTCAAAAATATTGCTTGTTATTAAAAATTTGACGAGCCCGTCTCAAACGTGTCGTGTTTTACTTCCTTTCCCTTTTCCAATTTCGTCACCTCTCCCGTGCTTTCCTTCTCCTTGAACTTGCCGGTGACCCATTAAACGAGGATGTTATTTTTGGGACAGTGCATTGTGCGGAATGAGTAAGTGTTGGTGAAAGAGACGGAGAAGCTCAAGCTTGCACAGTGTGCACAGCAGTCGGGTAATGGCACGACAGAGAGGTGGCAAGGATGCCGTTTAGCGATGCCATCTGTTACATCAGCTCCAGTTCTGTTTTTAGTCCAAATGGTTGGTTTTCCTTGCCACTCATCCCATCAGTCACAGTCCCTTCGGTGAAAACAACTATTGAGATGCTGACATTTGTATCTCACACTTTAATTTAAAAAAATACATATTTCTTTTGTGTGGCTGCTCTTGTCATTTGTTATTTCCATCAAAGCAAATGTGAATATATATATATGTTAAAAAAACCTCCCCCTTTCTCCCCATCTGTTGTGTAATTCAATCAGAGAGGCAGTCAGCAGCAGGAGGAGTGACTGATGATGTTTGGAGCGAAATGCAGGGAAATCAGACATAACTTATGAACAAAAAAACTCTCACAGCTTTTGCACACACACTCATGCACGCACACACACACACACAAAAAAACCTTATTCACTTTTATTGGACAGTCTTTGATTTGACTGTTTGCATTTGATAGAGAGTGATAGAAGGCTTACAAATGTGTCGTCATGACAACGTCGGAAGTGAACAGCGACAATAAGCATATCCCAGAGATTTTCAATGAGCTTTGAATTTGAACTCTGGTGGGAAGCGTATCGTTTCTAATGCTCCTGAACCGCTCTTGAGGCCCTTTTAAACCGCACTCAGCACAGTGCGGCGCGCTGTCGAGCAACCCAGTCACTGTGTGTAAAGTGAGCTGCTTCTGAGAAGGCACAGCAACCTCCATTCAATGTACTCGGTTGGTTGAAAATGGTCGAAATGAGCGATTTTAGCTCCAAATAAAATATAGCACAGGCACACGTACACTTGTATCACGTCGCCTCCTCCTCATTATGACCAACTTTACAACTTCCAAAGCGGTGGGAAAGGGCACCGAGCTACTTCCTGTTCAGTAGCTTAGCAACCGGAACCAAATATGGGCAAGCTTACGCCGGGCCATGCCGTCCGTCCCTGCACCATTCTGCCTCCTACCAGCGCTCTGAGGAAGCCTACCATGATCACCTTGAAAAAAAGGCTCTGCTATCTGGGAAGGGAAAAAAATGCTCCTTTGTCTATTTATTTTGCATTACGGTTACAGTTATGTATTCATTTAACGAGAGCCTCATCAGCAATTCATCTCATTTCGCACCCGATTGTCAGCAACTGAATTTATTGTAGAATTTAAGATCAATGAGACGGTGTCTTCCATCTTCTAATGAGGCATATAGGAAGAAGAAATGTTGGTTCTCCCGAGTTATTGCCCTGACTTTCCTCTTTCGAGCACACATCAACGTGTTTTGCGGAGGAAGTAATATTTTGCTGCTATGACCACGAAAGGACAACTAGAGATGGCGTCCGCAAAGCTGCAATTCTATCCGATTTTTCTCCCCGAGGCGTCTCGGAAGCCGCCAGAGCACGGTTAACACGGCACCGACTCCGGCTGACAGCATGTGAATCCTTCCACTCTGCCTCTCTGCTCCTTTGTGAATGTGCAGTGGTGTGGATGCAATCATCTGCTCCCCTCCTCTGCCAGCCTCGCATATCAACACACAAAGCTGGGCGAGAGAAAGACAGGCTATCAAAGGGGTTCCGTGTGCATTCGTGTCACTCGGTCTGCGCCGCCTCGCGCTTCGGAAACCGCCGAAGGAAGCGGGGGTTGAATCGTCATCGTTTCGTCATCGTTTGTGCCCCTTGAGAGACACGTTAACGCAAAGAAAGCGCCATGAAGAAAGCTTGAGCCGCAAACCCCGGATGCAAAGCCATTCAAACGCATCGTCAACAAACAGCGACGTCACATCACACGCATACGCACGGCCACGACCGCATGCGGTGCGGAGGGCGGGCTGAGTGGCGGCAAACTGATGACGGCTCCCCAGATGGCGCCAGCTGTGTGTGTGTGCGCGGGCACACGCGTGCGTATGTGGACGGGATGTCTGGCCTGAGTAGGAGCAAATGACTTGCGGCAGGATCGAGCCTTCGCGAGACCCTCACACATCGAAGCCAAACCTTTACGTTACTCTCCACATGCAGGTACCTCTCGGCGCCACGCGCCCGCTTATCGCCACCGTCAACCCGCACTCAACACACAAGCGCAGCTGCCATGTGAGCGTCATGTTTAACGCTTGATGACAAACTGGTCTGGGCTAACGTCGCGCGGGCATCCACCTGTCCCGCACTTTGTCATTACTACCTAACTTGAGTTTGCCCAGTTCGTTTTCTGTTGTTGTTTTTTTTTTTTTTTTTGCCCGTTGACCTTTGCACTCAGAGAGCCTCAAGATGGGCATAGTGACCTTAGCAACACCATCCAACCCGGATGTGAACAGTTTGCAGAAAACAGCATCAAGAGCCGCTTCATCCTTTCGAGCGTCGAGGAGTGAGGTTCTCTTCTGGCTACACAGTTCTCCGCGAATGTGCATCTATTATGCAAAAGCCCAATTAGCATGACTAATGAAAACATCTTGTGTTTGTTAAAATGAGTGACTCAGAGAGATTCTTCAGGAATAACAGTTTTGTTCACGTCGCATGCAGACACGTCGAAGAAAGAAAAAAAGGAGGATTTATCCCATTGTAAGATTTCACAAAAATGACGAGCTCCAATCAATATCGGCCCACACCAAGGGGCGGTGTCACAGCATAGCAGTCATACTCAATAAATTGTTTGATCGTCTACCAATCTCACCACATCTTTACAACTCGGTCCATCGGTCATCAAGCTGTTGATCTTTTTTGTGTGCGCGTGCATCGGAGTCCCGCTACTTTACCATCGATATCGAATAATCCACATCAACTTTGATTGAATGAAGGCATGTATTTCACAGTGGAAAAAGTACCACTAAAATGAAAATGTGACCCCCCCCACCCAAAAAAAAAAAAAAATGGACATCTAGGTAATGAGGTACCTTCTGCCATCTAGTGGAAGAGCATTTATTTGTTCCGCCTGTCATTACACGTCACTGGCATAGAGAGATGGACAACGAAGCTCTTACAATATAATATATATCTATATACACATCATATAAGATATAGTGTTTGGAGTAAATCAGTAATTTTCAAACCAATAAAGAAACTGGATCATTTCCAAGAGTACAGCTGATTGATGGCGGCTCACCACACACACAACTGGTTAGGAATCACTGATCTCTCTCGAGCAAGACTGTGTTGCCCACACATTGGAGTGGGATGTGGAATGTTGCTGGACGCTTAAGTGCTCTGGCTGAAAATAATCAAGGTGGAGCAGAGTACCATCGGAAGCAAAGACTGTATCTCCTTGCGCATCTACATCCCTTGATGCACAAGTCGAAAGCCCGAAGCTGTCATTTGCAAGACCGGGGTCAAACCAATCCCACCCACCCCAATTCTGCTGCATGACATTGTCGTTCGAGCTCTCACTGCTCACCGTGTGATGCGCACACCTCGTAGAAACACCTGCAATCCCGTGCGACTCTCAAGATTTTCCAGCCTCGAAATGAGACGCTGGCGCGTGAAGTTCTAGTAGCGAGTGAATGAGAAGGCAATTCCTTACTTGCTTTCCCTGGCCGGGGCCTTTGCAGCAGCTTCTGCACGGTGAGCAGGTCCTCGGTCTTGACCGCCTGCAGCAGCTCCTGGTCCTTCCCCATCTTCCGCTTTGAGACGTACTACTCCCGCGACATGTTCCGACGGAGGGGCGCTTCAGGCCGGGCTTCGCACGCGGGGAGCGCGCCACGACGAGCCTCGACTCCCGCCTCCTCCTCCCCCCTTTCTTGGTCCCCGGCTAGACGGGAGCCCCGGAGCTCTGGCGTACGATGGGATGAGACGGGGCAGAATATGAAGGGGAGAGGGAGGGGCGCGTCGGGATGGAGGGATGCTTTCGTACTCGCAGCCCCCCACCCCTCCTTCGCTAGGTGCAGCGCCGAGAGATGCGCTCGTCTCCGGTCCGGAGCTGCTGGGCCGCTCGGAAGCCCGCGGCCGTCGCGAGGTGGCGGACGGGCCACAGCTCCCTCGCGCCGCGACGGAGAAGGAGGCGGAAGAAGATTCCCCGACTGCCCAAACAGCGGCGGCCTTCGTCGAAGACAAATTTACCGCATCACGTCGAGGCGCGGAAAGTGCGACGAAGCATGACCGTGTCAAGCGGCTCTCTCGTGCTCTGCGTGGCGTCTGCCGGGGCCGCTGCAGCCATCGTTCCGCCTGCGCTCTCGCTTTGGATTTAGAAACGCTTGCCCCGCGTGGGGGCACGAGCAGAGAAAGAGAGAGAGACTGTGAGTGCGTGCGTGTGCGCGTGTGTGTATGGGGAGGGGCGGCAGAGGGTGGGGGTCGCACCTTACAGCTGTGCCAGCTCGAGGCGCTAATGCGCTCGTGAGTCGTGCTGCGACGAGGGGGCGGAACCTATTTTCGACCCCGTTTGTTACGTTTAGGCTTCTCTTGTTGTTCGCATAAGCGCCAGCGATGGACCAAGTGGATGCCGACCATACGAGGTCGCAGCTGCCGTTTCCAGCATCGGAATCACCGCAAGATGCCAACACAAGATGTGTCCTATTTATTTGATTTAAAACCAGAGATGGCGCTACGTTTACAGTTTGGGATTTAACTTACTTTTGACTTTTCTTGAGTATATATATGAACTGCAATTTCACTCCATTATCGAGCTGCATTCTGGTCGATACTTTTATTTCTCGTCTATTTATTAATTTATTGCTTCCGCAATCGATTTTGGGGGACGTGCCCGTCCGACTTCCGGCTCGGGCACTGTCCGCCAATCAAATAGAATTGCCTGAGTATTCACGAGTCTCTTGACTATCTTTGACCTACAAATCGGCATTTTCCAGGGAGTGAGCCACTTTCGAAGGAAACGTGACTTTTTGCGTCATGTACACTGACCTGGAAACCACCGGTGCTATGATTCAAAGGCCGCCCCATGAAAGAAGACCTTAAATGAAGACACACTAGAACACACATGGTAGACATTGGAAAGAACAGCGGAATCTGCTTGAGTCGTGCCTCATCACACAGTACTGAAAAATAATACGCTGTTGCATACGGTATATGCTAATTGCCATACAAACCTGCACTTAGCCAAGATTTAAATGCGAAACTTCTCTATGTGCAATGCAACCACCCACCATTTTCAACTGGCATGCCCCTTTCTGTGTGTGTGTGTTCAAACAGTGGGCAGTAAGCAGTGCATGGATACTGTTCTCTGCCTCCCCCGCATCTAGCGAGTTATGTAAGAAAAAAAGTAGCAATTGGAACACTTGGAAATACATTAGCTATATATTTGTCCTCGTTAATGTGACTCACCTCCATGAAGCTTCATCCGTGACTTTTAGTGACTATCCATTTTAACAAATGGTGGCTTGAGTGAATGATTGTGAATGAGTAAAGACTTAATGCACCCAATACCGACAGAATATAAAAACGTAGATTTGCGAATAGTATTTATTATAAGCCTAAATCTTCTTCTTGGCCCGCTTCCCTCCACCGTACGGAAAATGAGAATGCTGCTAACTTTGGAACCAATGCTGCTTTGTTCGATCGTCACTTTTTTTGGCGGGGGGGGAATGGCTGAATATTGTGAAAACGTTGCTCAGCTGGCAACACTTCAGACACAAGTTGTAAGCTCCTGCTCGCTACCTCGCTCGTACTTGCATCCACACATGTGCACCTCATGTGCTGCATGATGTAATAGCTCTGTCACGGTAAACGGTGATCTTCTTCGACGCGTGTTTGAAATAATGAATGTTTTTCTCCGATATTAAAATTTCAAACAAGGGAAAAATGTCAGAAAGGAGGTATTCATTGAAGCACACTGCCCTCAAGTGTCCATTCCTGAAGCGCACACACACCTTTTGGCTCGAAAAACTGAAGGGGTTTTTGTTGGTGATTTATAACTACACCACAAACCGCAAAACATCTCCTGCGGTCTGAGTCATGCTTGCATCTATTACCTTCTCCAAAATAAACGGCTTCGTGGCATGCCGGCTGCAATTTATTGTCTACGAGCGTACCTGAATGCGTCTTCAGCACTTGCCTTTTCCATACTGATTGGTCGAACTTATCGGTCCTCTCAAACTAATCGGCACAAGCGGATGGACTAAAGAGCGACCGGTTGAAAGGGGCTGGAGGGCAACACAAACGAACCCTGCTGGTCGCAAGAAACTGTAACCGAAGCCGACGAACTGGTAAGAAGTTGAAATGCGCTTTGTTTCGTGTTCACCGTTATTACTACCGTGACCTGGTCACGACAAATGCAAATCGATGGTGCATTCAAGACCGTTGACGGCTCCATTATCTCCGGCGCGTGTTTGGCGTTAGCCGACGTTGTCGCTTCACCGCTAAGCCTTAGCATCATTTGACTTTTGTCTTTAAAACAAAATTGACCGACATAACTTAATCTCCTTAGTGGTGTTACATAAGGAAGAAAACGTTTCATGTAAACGGTAAAACGCGGTTGCTAGGCAGCTAGCTTAGCGCCACCGAGGAGCTAATGGCGCGCCTCTGATAATGAATTAAGATGACTAACGTATTGGCACGAGACGAGCACAAGACGTTGCCAGATCCGCGAGGCACCTCGTTAGCATCACAGCTTCTCTCTTTTTCAATATCGCGTATATGATTGTATTCTTGGTCGATGTGTTATAGGGAAGTAACCTCATGTGGACTGGAAAGCAGTTAAAACCAACCGCGACGTTCCTCGTTTATTTCCATGAATGTGAACTGTGGTTACTCCAACGGCAAATGAGTGAAATTGTCTGAATGTTAGGCAGGTTGTGTTATCAGTCTACTCAAGTCCCTCCATGCTCGGCGTCGCTCGAATATTAAAATAGCCGCAGGGTGTATTTGTATTTCTTTATTTTGACCAACGGACTGTGTTACCTCCAGCACTGCAAAGTCACCTGATGAACTTGGTTTCAATCATTTCACATTTGTGACCGCTACTATCCAATCACTTCTTAACTAGTATTTGTAATAAACACAATCTTATTGCAGTTTTGTTTCGCCTTCAAGAGTTTGTGACCGATTCCCACTGTTAACGAGTGCTTAAAGCAAGGACAGGGATGTCCTCCTCGAAGCTGGCAAGGCTGATCATTGAGCTCTGAGAAGCCTGATAAGGATTCTGATCATTTGAATCGGGAAGGTTGAATGAGGGAGACAACTAAAACTTGCTGGGTAAGTGGCCTTCAAGGACCGGGGTTGGACACCCCTCGCCTAAAGCCTTCCTAACTCCACTTTTAGTGCTTGTCAAGTGAAAGCCGCGATTTGTTTCCAAATACCTCATACATGTTTGAATATACTTGCTGAAATCACATGCAAAGACGAAAACCTCTGTGGTTCTGAATTGTTAAGCTAAAATTTCCAACTTTTTTTGTTTGAACAATTTCTTTGTTTCTTGTTTATGTGGGTGTGACTATAACTGTGCTGCAATTTGGTGTCCAGCATGAGTCGCCCTCCCCCACTCACTAAATTAGAGTTTGAGCTGTGAAGTAGTTCAGCAACTGGTCAGCCATTACATGACGTCCCCACTAATGAGTGTCCAGGCCCCGTCACACTGCACTTAACGGAGTGCAGCAGGCATCGACGAACCCATTCGTTGAAATCAGTGAATATACGACTCGGCGCGCGCCGAAGTGCAAATACGCCGGGGTCCGCTCCACCGTATCATAAAAGTGCTGCGCCGTGCTGCGTCGGTCCCGCACTACCCGAGGGTCCTCCGAGCCACTTGACTCAGCTTCTCAGTTTTCACTCCACGTCTGGACTTGTCAGCTGTGAAAACAAGTGCCGCTTGTACTCAGAGACCAAAATTGTGCCTGAGTCTTTTTCCATATGTATCAGGCCAGCTCAATACCTAGCGTGTCGCAACTGTTCCCTTTTCGAAGAAAAGGCAGCCAAAACATCAGCCGTTTTGTCAGAATAATGCCTAAGACTTCTTTTAGACAATCTCATAATGATTCAAAGTGAGGTTGTATGTTTGTTTGTGTCATGCAACGCACAACTGCAGAGACCAGGAGCGTGCCAATACTGTCTGTCTGTGAAGTGCTCCGAAAAACCATTTGAGACCGCATCCCAAAGTTTCTGGGTTGACATAAAACTTTCTGCCACGTTCAAGAAAACCGTTTGAGCAATGATCAACAAAACGTCTTGAAAACATTTCCATTTCAGCTGCTAGGCATAATAAATATGGCGTCTCTGTGTTCTATATATCGACGAGTACTGAAATTTAAGTCCTTGAAGTACTCAGCCTGAAGAAAGTGGTACTGGTACACTGAAAGGGGCCCGATAAGGTTTGTAAAACAGCCTTCAGGTTGGTGGCCGTTTCATCCGAGTTGCAGCAGATGAGCCCGAGAGTCGACTCGAGTCGTTTTGTTGAGCGCTAACAAAGTCTTTGCTCCGCCCTCTGTCTGTCGTGTAGGAAGGACTCAGCGCGGCGTGGGTGCCTCGGGATCCTCTGCCTGAGTGTGTGGAGACTAGCGGCCCAAACCCCAGCGACATGAACCACACCAAGGGCGGCCTGGTCATCTTCACCGCCAACTCGCACCCGTCCAGCCGCGAGTTGGGCAAGAGGATCGCCGAGTGAGTACACGACCGTTTGATCGTATGATCCGGCGCCTCCTTCATCTCAGAAAGAGCGAGAAGGTGGCTTCTTGTACGGAGCCATGCGTCACTCTCAAGCTTCCTGTAAGCAGTGCTCGCATGCGCCTGAGTCACCGCTTCTGGTCGGGTCATCGCGTGCCGTGTTGACAGTGCGCGACCACCAGCACCGCTTGCAGCGGTGCCAACACTTCACCATCGCAGTGACGAGTCAGCAAAGTGGATGCAGACCGCCGTCAGACGAGCATCATTCCCCCCCACACACACACACACAGTTTGATCCAAGACGAACGTTTTTTGAAGCTTTTATGAAGGGTTAGTTTTGACATCTTTAGCTATATGTATTCACAGAGCTGCGACTCGACCAACACTCACAAAGCTTAACTCCGCTCCCAAGGACGTGGGAGTTCAGGAATGTTTGAGAGAACAACTCTCGCACTTGACTCGGCTCTTGAGGCGTCGACATCGCGTACGGGGCTCATTCTGTGTTGACAGTGAACACGAGATGCACACGCTGCAGGCTTCCTAGTCAAGTTTTCCCAAAAGGGGCTGCTTACATTCATTTCGACTCTCGTCAAATTTCAAGTTCAAACAAATTTGTGTTTGTTTGGACGGGTAGCTTCTTTCAAAATAACAAAGGCTTGTAAGAAGTCATTTCACTGAATGTAGTTGTTGTAATTAATGGGAGCTCTTTCGTTGTTTTTCTTTAGCGAGCTGAACTTCCCATGTGACAGCTTGTTTGTTATAAGACTCCACATTGTAGCCTGATTAAAAAAAAAAAAAGTTAACATTTCTGTTTCACTTGTGCTTAAGGTTCCCCCCCCCAGTATCAATTAGCATACTTTGCAAGTGACTGGTCTTGTTTTTGGTCCAATATTTGCACATGCTCGTAGCGGTACATCCGAATGCCGTACCGCATTACGTCACAGTGTTGTGTCTTGCAACTTGCATGACGAATCAAGCTGTTGTTGGCCATAATATTATTATTGGACATATTTTGGCTGCACTTTGTACCACTTGCTCAGCTTGTTCGACCGCGAGTGAGCGCAGGCGGCCCCGCTAGCAGGCATGTTGCAACTAGTCGTGCCTGTGAGCAAGCCGCTCTGAAATTTGAACCACCGTGTCGAAGCAATGGCCAGAGTCCCGGTGCCGGACTGCATGGAAGCACTGCCGTGCCACGGCCCAAAAAGTAAGCAGAACTCCGAGTCTATCACAGAGAAATGTGAGCAAGCACTGTTATCAGCAGGAGCTTCTGATAGGCAGCAGCAGATGTTTGAACGCTCAGTTGGCGAAGCTGTCAACATGGTGAGGGGGGGGGGGGCATAGTTGTGTTTGGCGACGTGTCCGCTACACTCATTGACAAGTTTAATTCAGTAGCTGGCTGATGAGGTGAAAATGCCAGCGAATCTTGATGGCCGCTCGCAGGAAGGAGTGCGTAATAGTCGAGTGGATGTTACGCACCGTATGCTGTTATTTATCGTGGATCATGTTTTCTGCCCCATAATGACAACTGAACGACTTCCATCCATCCATCGTCCGAACCGCTTAACTCTGTTTGTTCTCTCTCAGGCGATTAGGGGTGGAGCTCGGCAAGGTGCAGGTGTACCAGGAAGCCAACCGAGGTAAACGAATGAATGGAAAAAGTGTCGCTATCATGTTTCCCACATGACTCCGGGAGCGAAATGTTTCTTGCTCTCAACTTTGTGTTGATGGGCACATTTTTCGAACGCGGACATCTGCATTTCCACACAGAGGGGCTGTGTGTTTGTGTGTGGGAGGCGCCGCCCACTCCTGAAAGGCATTTGGAGGCCTCGCTCTTATCTTCTTCCCATGTCCTCTTGTTGTTCCCATAGAAACACGTGTCCAGATCCAGGAGTCCGTGCGAGGGAAGGATGTCTTTGTGATTCAGACCGTGTCCAAGTACGAGCCAACTCCTAAATTAAATTTAGGACACGTCCTCCTCATGCTAAATGTGATCTTTTCTTTCTCTTTCTTCTTCTGTCTCGAACCCTCCTCATGCTAAATGTGATCTTTTCTTTCTCTTTTCCTCTTCTGTCTGGAAACCTTGGCCGAGCAGAGATGTGAACACAACTATCATGGAGATGCTCATCCTGGTGTATGCGTGCAGGACATCTTGTGCAAAAAGCATCACGGGCGTTCTCCCCTACTTCCCTTACAGTAAACAGTGTAAGATGAGAAAGAGGGGCTCCATCGTCTCCAAGCTTATTGCCTCCATGATGTGTAAAGCAGGTCAGTCGTATGCATTTGCGGCGTCGAGAGGATGAGAGCAGCGCGCAACAGCTCGGAGGGCAGATTGATTTGCACATTGGCGTTATGAGCCGTCGTGTTGTGTAGGTCTCACACACCTGATCACCATGGACCTCCATCAGAAGGAGATTCAAGGCTTTTTCAATATCCCAGTAGACAACCTGAGAGCGTCGCCTTTCTTGTTGCAGTACATCCAAGAAGAGGTAAAATTGGCATCAGCAAATCTCATCTCGCCTTACTGTATGTCTTACAGTGCCAAGTGTCCTGGTCATATTGATACCGAATCCAAAGAGGTGTTTTTGTGTCTCGACCTGCATGTACATTTTTGAGGCGATGCCTGATGGGGGAGCTGTGACTTTTTCCAAAGAGGTGTTTTTGTGTCTCGACCTGCATGTACATTTTTGGCTGATGGGGGAGCTGTGACTTTTTTTTTTGTCTTCTCCACATAATTTGGCCTTCCAGATCCCCGACTACAGGAATGCTGTGATTGTGGCCAAATCCCCAGCTTCTGCCAAAAGGTCGGTTCATCTCTTGTCAACTGCACACAGTAAAACCGTCATCGATGTTGGCTCATTGTACTTGAAATCCACTCAACGGTGAAGGCCAAACCCCTTTTATAACATTGCAGTTATATACGGTTCAAGCCTGTTGGCTGAAACCAAATATTGTCACTGCTCTCTTGGTTCATGCGTGAGTCGTTTTGGTTCAAAGTTGGCAAAATTCCAGCCTTCCAATGTTCTTTCTTAACCCCATCAGTTTTTCGACTGCCCCATCTTTGCTCAACCAGCAAAACAAAAGACGTTTGTCTCCTCCCGGCGAGCAGGGCCCAGTCGTTTGCCGAGCGCCTGCGTCTCGGGATCGCCGTGATCCACGGCGAAGCTCAGGATGCCGAGTCGGACCAGGTCGACGGCCGACACTCGCCGCCCACCGTCAAGACCACTGGAGCCATACACCCGAGCATGGAGATACCATGTAATGACAATTACCGGTCGCACCCTTCTTTTCGCATTCTTGTGATGCGCTGAACTTGTTGAAACGATTCGTTCTGTCTCTGACTGCACTGCTTTCCCGCTAGAAACAAAGTGATCAAAGGTCAACTGAATGACAAAGAACTTGTCATGTGTAAAAGTTGCACATTCCATTCCCATTCTGTAGTAAATTGTCGGCCGTAAATCTCAAACGATCAAATATCACAGCTTTTAAAAATGACAGATGGGCCAGCTCATTTGCGCATGAGGTAAAAATCTAATTGACGGTGGCTGCAAAACATGACCTGGAGCTCCTCGACTCAATCCAGCACCGGCTTTTAACCACACACGTGTGTGCTAGGCCAGATGTAAGAATGGGGCGGGGGGGGATGTCCGGGAATCGGCACAAATGAAGTCCTTCATTCTTTCCTTGTAACTTCCAGTGTTGATTCCCAAGGAGAAGCCCCCCATCACCGTGGTCGGAGACGTCGGCGGCCGCATCGCCATCATAGTCGTAAGAAAGGAATCCCTCTCGGGCCGATCCAGGTCGGGTCCAAGGCAGTCTTACCCACCCGCTCCTCCCGCAGGATGACATCATCGACGACGTCGACAGCTTTGTGGCGGCGGCGGAGACGCTGAAGGAACGGGGGGCCTACAAGATCTTCATCATGGCCACGCACGGCATCCTCTCCTGTGACGCGCCCCGATTCATCGAGGAGTCCGCCATCGACGAGGTGCGTCCTTTTGTCTTGACGGCCCGGCCGCTTCTCCTTTTCACTCCCGGGCGTTTGTGTGGCCCCCCCCAAAGGTGGTGGTGACCAACACGATACCTCACGAACTGCAGAAGCTCCAGTGCCCCAAGATCAAGACGGTGGACATCAGCATGATTTTGTCGGAGGCCATCCGACGCATCCACAACGGAGAGTCCATGTCCTATCTTTTCCGCAACATAGGGGTGGATGACTGAACGATACGCGTGCGTACACACACACACACACACACACACACACACACACTGTTACATGCCTTTTGCCTTGTCAGACCTCAAAGCGTGCACTGGATGTAGACACGTGCACACGCCCATACACTGATGTCCTCCATGTATTTTATTTTATTTTTTTAACCTTACTGTAGAAGCAACGTACACTCCTCACATAACTGGAGAGAATTTGGGCCTTCACCCGAATGTCCCTAAATCTTGAGAGTGGTCCAGATGACTGATAGACAATTTCTCAAAGTAGTGCTTTTCTTCCCGTGTCTCACCGCGGACGTGTTCCACGTCCTCGGTTTGCCGCTTGTCCCAAGTAAAATGACTGTTCTCTTCGTAGTCTCGCTCCCGTGTTTCCACTCCATGGCAATTGTTTGCATTGCTTTCTTTCTTCACGTCGTTTGTAGTATTTGTAGTTGGGGCAAAGCAGAGTATTCGAGAAATTCGTCTTTGTCTTAATTCTCCGAGCAAGTTTATTTGTCAAAAAATGTTAATCCTCCTCAAATCTTCAGTGTTTCAGCATTTAGAGCAATATTAGCATGTAACTTTTTATTTTTATTTTTTTAATCCACTCAAAGACACGCAAGTCAGCTGGGGTCATAGCAGCCACTCGCGTCGGGTTTCGAGCTAAAGTTTCTGGTCAATGAGTGAGTTGTCTTCAGGATAATTGTCAGCGATGAATGTCCTCAAAGAAAGATTGTACCACACACTTGCCGGTGTCTGTGGGCAGGACACTTGCAACACACACGCACACGAATACGGTCCTTCGCCATGCAGTCAAGTCATTCAGGACGGATCTTGTCCTAAATCAGGTTTTCAACGAGTCTCGCTCTGCGGCTTGAAAAGCATCCTGCTGCTATTCATTTGAAGTCTTTTGGTCAGTTCCTGTTGCTTTTTGGGGCCGATGTACATGCTACTGATGAGTCCTTCCAGCTCGATAGAATGAGAATTGTGTGCTGTTGCCATAGTTACAACCGGGGTCAAATCTGCTACTTGCTAAATTTGAACTGGAATTAATAAACGCTTTTTTCGTTTTTTGGGTAACGTCTTCTGATGTTACAGAAGTAATGCATGACTTTATCCATTTAACACTTTGTGCCATTATCTGCTCAATAACCTCGTGTTTGATGATCTGCAATGTCAATGAAGCGGATGTCAATTTGTCCTCCTTTCAAGTCAAATGTTGTTCTTTCACCTGAGTAAATATTTGTAAAAGCCTGTCATTGATAATCTGGTGAAGGGTAATTGATCCAACATCACCGCGATCAGACACCTCTGGAGTTCGTCCTCAACACGTTTCCATCAAAGAAATACAAAGCTAGGACACTGACACTGTTTTTCTAGCGAACATATTGACTGAAGCGGGTCTTAGTCACTTTGCCAGATGAGGTCCCAAAACTGTTTTGTATTTATTTTCAGCGCTAACTGAATAAACGTGAAAATGAAGACCACTTGCCTTTAAGTTCATTCACATCACTATATATGCCTGTCTATATAAATATACAGATAGAGACACACACACACACACAGTCTGCTTATTCACAAACATGGCAGACCTTTTCCCACTTCCTTCACATTCATGGCCAAGATAAATGGTAAAAGAATACATTGTATGTGTTGTTGTAGTTCCACATGTTTATTGAAATGCTGATAAACAGGTATCGGTTCAGACGACCGTGGTGACATCCGCTCCCGAACGGACGCAGGCGCAGAGGTCACGCTTGTCCCAGTCACACTGTTTGGCACCAACTCGTAACTAGCATTCATTCAGCAAACTACATGGCACATCTCTTTGTTCTAAGCCAAGCACAGAGGAAAAAAAAAAACATTTGGGGATTTGGGTAAAGAAGCACGATGACAGCATTGTACTGTAGCATTTTCCTGCGTTTCGAACCTTGTTTGCATCTGCTTGTTGGACCGACGCAAAGCGTGGTCGTCCATGTTCGTCGCGATCGCAGGACAAGTTTTCCAGTTTTACTTCCACCCTGAGTATTGACACGTAATATCGGCCAAAGACCTTTTGAATTCCGATACTATCGTCGTCCTTCGCCCTGAAACAAGGCACTTCACACATTCGCCTGCTCCTACAGACCCATTCGGTGAGCGAAATACTCTACTTTGATTCGATGGCAAACATTTGAATGCGTTCGTGTTTGGGCGTGATGGAGGACGACGTCGGTCTGACGATAATCGATTGCAACTCGAGTGTGATGCGGAGAAGCCGGTGTTGCTTTTGGCTGGAAACGTGCCTTGTTTTGCTTCTCGCGAACACTGAGCAGACGTGGGGGGGGGGGGGGGGGGGGGGGGGGGTTGTGAAAGTGTGAATATGGAAAGCAGTTGAGCATCGATTCCATGTCTTTGATATCCACCTTAAGGACCGTTGTCTCATTGGCGAGGATGAAGAACTTCGCAGTATCTTCATGTTAGAAAGAGGAGATGGAATCCGATGCTCAAATGGCTTTCCATTCATTAAAGCTATGCAAAAAACTTTCAAGGCAAAAGGAGCTAACAAGGCAAATCAACTGCAACCTTTGCTAAAGAGAGTGACAATCTCAAATCCAGTCAAGAAGCAGAAGTGCAGCGATAGATTTTTAAAAAAACTGACATTTTTTACATACACTCAACAGATAGATCATGTTACCAGTGCAGGATCTCAGCATCCGTACAGGAAATTACTTGAGTTTGTGCGCAGCGTGAGGCTCCAGCTGTGTTCTAATTAAACGTGCTTTCCAAATACACAACACAAAAGATGGGAGAGGAAGCCATCTGGCAACGCGATGCATCAACTGCTAATCCCACCGTTGAGAACATTGGATGGGCATAAACTCGCATTTTGTCGAACTAAATACTCCACATCACATCAAACCGTAACATTATAGGCCACAAACGTTCACCCGGTGGCTTAAGTGTCGTAGTGTGAGCATTTGGAAACGAGGGAAGCCTCGACGTGAGCTACAATGGTTCTGCAAATTATTCCCATGTCTGTGTGACGACTTTTTTGAAACACTGAAAAAACGTAACACTGAGCGAAGTTAGCTGGGATAGGCTCCAGCTCACGCTGATGGATGGAACAAGATCTTGACTCCGGTATCATCTAAAAGCACTTTCAAGAATTGGCAACTACTCGGGATGAACTTGGGGTCTAGCTAACACGGGCTGACTGTTTTTTTATACACAATACTGTCACTCCAAACTGAAGCTCACTCCCCAAAAAAGGGGATCATATTTTGCTACCCAAACTCCTATCTCACTTACTAAATAATACTATCATCAATGACTTGATGATCACAATCAGGTCAATATGATGTGACTCAGAAAACGACATTTGAAAATGAGGACATTTCAAACAAGTATGTCCACTCCGAACTTTGAATTCAAATTTGAGCTAAATATTGTATTCCCACATCCAGTGGTTAATTCACAGCATTGCAAAATATTACCTTGAATTGACTTGAAAGACATTTATGTCTCCTCTGGTTAATTTGGTTGAAGGTTTCTTTTTTTTTTTCCGGACAACGGACAAAGAGCTGAAAATACATACACAGCATTTGAAGACCCTAGTGGGCACTTAAATTATTATTATTATTATTGTCTGTTCTTATTTTTGTAAATGTTTACAAAAATAAGAACAGACAATAATTATTCAAATTCATTATTTTTTTAAATTAATTTACTTGAAGTCAGAAAAGAATGTTTTTTTTTTTTTAGAGTAAAATATTTTAAGTTATTATTTAATGAAAACAGGAACATCCAATATGAATACCTCAAGACTACGGATCCAGTCTGAACTTTTTGTTTTTAATTGATGTATAAACTGTAAAACGACCGTGATTGTATTCAAGTAGCTCTGTCTCAATAAAATGTACTTCCGGTAAACCTCCGATATGTTTCTGGTCCATTTGGCCCTCTCCAATGGAAGATACTGTATGAACACATTTGTAATCCTAAATCAAGAGGCTACAGATGTGCCTGTAAACACACAGAGAAAACACCAACGCAGACGGTAAAATCTCCATAAGCACTTATTAGACTATTCACACCCTGTTTGCCTGTTGAATCTTGCCCCTAAAAAAAAAAAAAAAAAACGTCGTTGAGTTGTACAGATTATCCTGTACGTTAACTAGTCGTGGGAAAAGTTTCAAATATTTCTCTCACACGCTGACAGTCCATTTGAACGGGGGCGTAAAGACTTTTAGCCACAGTAGCTTCCTTTGTTCACTGTATTGTTTACTGCATTGATAGTGTTTCTGGAAATAAATACATGCGTTAAAAGTCTTACTACCGTGTTTGTTTGTTATTTTCTTAATTGTAGAAATCATTTTGGCGATGGGGCCTCCTTTTTCGGTGGGGGGTGCACGTGCCTGCTCATAACAAATCTGGTGGATACAAACAAAGTCGCCACCTCCCTGATCAGTGGTAGGTTTTGGTGAGGTTCTAAAAAAAAAAATCATTGATTTTTCCAGATTGGGAAAAGCCAATTAGGACAATTTTGGAGTGTTCAGTGAACCTAATATGCATGTTTTTGCCATAACTGTGCTACTTCAGGAAGCGCATTATTCTTCTACATCTGTGACATTTCTGATGTGATCCTTGATGCCACAGAAACTTCGCCAGGGATGTGTGAACTTATTTATTTTTTAAATTTCAGCATCCACCACAAGTCTTTGCTTAATTTAAGACTTTTAAGTAGACGTTAAGAATATTTACAAACCGGGATGTCCTACTGAAAATGCAAGTGTTTACCCGATTCCTTCGCTGACGGAGAAATAGACTGACAATTCAGTTTAGTACGCTTGTAGGCTTCTTTGACGTTTCCTTCAATGTTAACCGACAGGGCAGAATCCGGGTTCGACCCTCATCACTTTTGTTCTGCGGGCATATTCGCTCTACTCGTATTTCCGGTACGGGTGGCATCGCAACCACCCGTGGAGCTGAGAAGGAGCGCGGCAAGAGTCTTCGGCCAGACGTCCCCCGTCGCTCTGGAAAAGCACTTAGTGACGAGCCCGCTTCGCTCTCATCCTGCGCGTCGGACGCTTTTCACGACGGGGGCAACAAAATAAATCATCTGGAAATGGAGCGCGGGGAGGCTGAGTCTGGTTTCCTTGTCGATTGCCGAGACAGTTGCCAGGAAGACACACAAGGAAGATTGTGAGTGTCACACAAAGTGCATTCTGGGATTGGTGATAGGCCATGACTTCCAAAGCGGAGGTTTCTTTTTCTCTGTTGTCCTCCTCCTCCTCCACCTCTTCTTCTGCGTTCCACTTTGTCAGCGTCCGTCTGCTTCCCGCCGTTGTCCGCCTCTTCTTTGTGCGAGGCCTCGCTGTCTTCCTCCGCTTGACGCTGAGCCGCCTCCTTTTTCAGGTACTCAAGTTCCCTACAAGGCACGCGCAAACAGACACGGACACATCAACGAGATCTTGCCCTGGCGTTGCGGAAACGCATCAGGTTGGTCCTTCCGCCCTTACTTCTGCTGATATTCTTTGATCATCCTCTTGGCTTTGCTGTACTTCCTCTCTAAGGTTTGGTATTGAGCCTGGGTTTCCTTCAGGTGTTCATCCACTGCCTAAAAAAACCCCAAAACAAACACACAAAAAAAAAAGTCACACACGTACTAAATTAGAGACAGCAGAAATTTCAGGGAAAAAAAACCCTCAATGAAAAACTGGACCAATTATTTAAAATCGAACAAATAAGGCTGTCACTTCAGTCTCGGTCAGAGCGGTTACTGTTTCTTTGCGGCGTGTCTCAAAAAAGCAGCTGACCGTTGGGGCCCCAGCTGCTTTTTTGAGTGTCAATGTCTGATTTCCATGGGTTAGACCTCTTCTTCTGCGTTCCACTTTGTCAGCGTCCGTCTGCTTCCCGCCGCCGCTGCGCGCGATCGCCCGAACGACGATCCGTCAGTGCGAAGGCAGAGCGCCGCGTCCTCCCGTCACGGACGGGAAGCGGAGCGGCCGGCGCTCTAGGAGGGGTTGGGGGGCTTCAGAGCATCCACTTGGATCTCCAGGTCGCTAATCTGTGGGAGCAACAAGTCAACCTCACTCAGACATTTTCAATCCAAACTTAGAAGACGTTTGACAGGTCAAATCTATGAGACCTCATACACACCTTCTCATTCACAATAAAATTGTAACACACACACACAGCTGTATTGTTTTTTTTTTTTTTTTTAAAGAAAGAAAAGTTATCAACGTGACTGACTTTTTCCTGCAAGTTGTCCGCCTCTTCTTTGTGCGAGGCCTCGCTGTCTTCCTCCGCTTGACGCTGAGCCGCCTCCTTTTTCAGGTACTCAAGTTCCCTACAAGGCACGCGCAAACAGACACGGACACATCAACGAGATCTTGCCCTGGCGTTGCGGAAACGCATCAGGTTGGTCCTTCCGCCCTTACTTCTGCTGATATTCTTTGATCATCCTCTTGGCTTTGCTGTACTTCCTCTCTAAGGTTTGGTATTGAGCCTGGGTTTCCTTCAGGTGTTCATCCACTGCCTAAAAAAAACCCAAAACAAACACACAAAAAAAAAGTCACACGTACTAAATCAGAGACAGCAGAAATTTCGGGGAAAAAAACCCCTCAATGAAAAACAGGACCAATTGTTTAAAATCGAACAAATAAGGCGGGGTTTTGGTTCTGAGCTCGTTTGTTATCATTCGGTATGATTCAATTCGTCACCATTTTTTTTTTTTTTTTGTCCATGCAGGCATGTTTCAAGAGTTTAAAAAAAAATCCATTGAACCACAATTCAAAAGCACATCAGGTTTAGTGTTTTCTTTCTTTGCCGGACAATGGTCTTTTTTGGTGAAGAGAAAAACTCTTACCGAGCCGACAGTCTCGGCTGTCACTTCAGCCTCGGTCAGAGAGGTCACTGTTTCTTTGCGGCATGTCTCAAAAAAGCAGCTGACCGTTGGGGAGGGGTTAGAGCGCAAAAGCAATGTCTGATTTCCATGGGTTATGTTTCCTTCAATGTTTATTGGTTGTTTTTGTCAAATTCAACTTATTTCTATGACGACTGTGGATTTTCCTTTCACGAACAGAGCCGTACGGACCATTTTGTCCACGCGTATCTTGTAAGGGTCATGATTCCTTCCTCAATTACCTTACACAGAGATTGGGCCTCCATCCAATAACCCTCCAGTTTCTCCATCCTCCCTTTACTGTCCCGGATGCTTTGTTCCAGCTGCGCGCGCTCCATTCGCCAACGCAACTTCTCTTGCTCTGCGTGAGCCAGCTGTGGGGGAAGTTTGTTATGGGCGAGGCAGAAAATCAGGCTGCGGTGGCACAAATGTCTCGAATGCAACACGGACACCGCTACGTCTCGATGTTAAGAACTTGAAGGGGCTCTCACCTTCCTCTTCAGCAGCTGGATCTCGGCCTGGGTGACCGCATGTTTGATTTGAAGCTGCAAGGAGATGGAGAGCACAGGATACCAGCGGCTTTAAACGCGCGACTGATGGGCAGTGCACATTTGCAAGTAGCAATGATGCTAACGCCGTATGGAGGATCATCACTTCAAAATGAGTAGGTGTACATTATATTCAAATACATGAGATGTATTATTCTCGATTGGTCCATTTCTTAATAGTTCATTGTATTATTTGTAGTCACATTTGTTGTACTTGAAAATAAGACTGTTTGAAATGAATGAAAAAAAATCTATGATCATAAACTTCCTTACTATAAATATCATTGTTGTCAGTACCGGTGCTTGAAAAGTGGCAATGAAAAAAAAAAAATGGGTCGCCGGTCCGCGAACAGCATGTACTTGACTCCACTGGTCCGTGACGCAAAAAAAGTTGGGGACCACTGGTATAAGCCGCACAGACCGGCCTATTTTCCATTACGTTAGCAGACTGACATTAAAAATTGGCAAAGTGGTATTTTTCCTGACCTGACGTTTGAAGTAGATCGTTAATCCTCAGCCTGTGAATAGTCTCATTCGTCCAGATTATTGAATTCTCTGGCCATTGAATCGAATGCATCTGAACCGTTCTGGAATCCGCAGACGTCTTTGAAGACGTTTGGCCTCTCATCCAGGCTCAGGTTTATCTCCAGCATTTGAGTTCCTTTCCGAGTCCAAGATGGATTATCATTTCTCTGATTCTAAACATCTTTCATACTTGGCTTTCGTTTGGTACATGTTAGAGTGCGCCGAAGGCAGCTGGCTTCATTTTCCTCACAATCGTGTCTTGCTGAATCAAAATGCACATGCGCGCTAAGAAGACGCTCCATTTGGGAAGGAAGGGCGGGCCAGCAGTCAAATTTCACGGCAGATTTCTGATCCCTTTTTAAGTGTGTAAAGCGACAATAACTGCTTTGATTCAAAGAAAACTTCTGAAATGTTTGGGGCTGTCTCTTGGGGCCCTCGATCGCCCCCGTTTGCCTAATCATGGTCGTCTGCCGTCAACTACTTTCTTGCCTCACCTTGTGCTTTTATCTGCAGTTTTAAGCAGTCAACAAAACTGACTATGGAACACAAACACTAAATAGTCCGACTATGAAAAACCAAAGAAACACTGCAGGTGTGAACAGACGTTTTCCAATTGTCTCTTCTATTGTAATACTGTAATTTGACCACCAGATGGGGGTATTCCTGATTTTTAAGATTGGTTGCTCAATCTGAGGGGAGGCTGGCTGCTTATTGCCGCACTTCTAGTCTCGCCTGTGTTTTTAAACAGGAAATAGAAATATATTTTTTAAATCAATATAAATCACAGGCCAGGGAACTAAAATTGAAAAGACATTTATTAAATCATGATTTGCTTAGATTACTCTTCTTCACTCTCCTGCCTCTCCTGACTGCACGTCTGTGGTTGTGTTGCAACATGCCGGGCAGCACTGAGGTCTATTGAAAGAGATGCAGCTTCATCAAGAGCAAAAAGAAGAGGCACAGCAGCTTTTCAAATCAGCTCCAGTAATATTCATTCTTCTTCCTAAAGAGCAGACAGATTCTAC